TAAATAAGGTGATCAGACACTAACATTTCTTTAAGAACATGCCATAGTTTGCTGTGGTCCACACAGTCAAAAGCTTTTGCATAGTTAATGAAGCAAAAGTAGATGTTTTTCTGGAACTCTCTGACTTTCTCCATAATCCAGCGCATGTTAGCAATTTGGTCTCTAGTTCCTCTGCCCCTTCGAAATCCAGCTTATACTTCTGGGAGTTCTTGGTCCACGTACTGCTGAAGCCTACCTTGGAGGATTTTGAGCGTAACCTTGCTAGCGTGTGAAATGAGTGCAATTGTACAGTAGTTGGAGCATTCTTTGGCACTGCCCTTCTTTGAGATTTGAATATAGACTGAAAGTAGTAATATACTGAATGTCTATTGGACAAAAGAGATAATCTACAAGCAAGTCATCCCTAAACTCACCTGACAGTTGGGGAGTGGAAAGTCAACGTTTGGAATTTTGTATAAATGAAATATATAATGATTAAGGAAGGGGTATAAGAAACATAAACCTAGAAATGTGAGATGTTATCATATAATGAAGGTTTGAATAGCAGCACATGGCTAGTTAGTGGTTGCTTAAAGAAAAACAGCTAGTTTTGCTAGAGTAGCAAAATACATGTAAAAAGCTTTTGTCTGTGGGAGGTTAGGAAAACACATTGTACATGAATGTAGTTTGCTATTTTAGAAAAAAAGCCATAAGAAAAAAAACCTAATTTTCGCTATGTTAGCAGAAGAACTAGAGTTGTTTATAGTTTCCTTACCAACCATTTATGCTTAAATATGTATTTTTAGAAAGCTTGTTACCTGTGCAGTCCTATACATGTCTGCTCAGAAGTCAGTTAATTGGGGCTTATTCTTGTGTCTATGTACGTTGGCTTTCAGCAAAACAACAAAGCTGGTCTTAAAGAAGCCTTTGCCCCCACTTTCCTCTTTATCTTCCTGTTTCTCTCTCTCTCTCTCTCTCTCTCTTTCTCTCTCATGCTCACAAACATTCATACACTTTTACACATTTTAATCTACTCCTTTTCTGCTCTTAATGTAATTAAAAAGCAGTTACAAAACAAGCACTTTCCTTGTAAAACATGCTTAAGGGCTATCTCTAACACGTTGATAATAGTGCCATTTAGCATTGCTGCATACACTGTGCGTACATGCAATTAATTACTGTTTTCCGTGAAAATAATATGTGTTCCGATTATGCCCATATAAGATAATCATGCAAGTATAATTGAAGATAACAGGCTTGTATGATGAGTGGCTGGAGCACCTGAATAAGAAGTATGCATAGGATGAACACTAATATGATTGGTAGATAGATGATGGAATGTTGAGTGCAGGGCTCAATGTTGATTGGTTGCTGTGACTGGAATGTTTTTGGCAGGGAATCGGTTGAGAGATTCAGTCTATTTTGAGGGCAAGTTAATAAGGATCTTTTGAAGAATCTGATAGAGAATAATACTAGTTAGAAATCAGAGAGGTAATAAGAAAGAATGTCTTGTGACAGAGAGTTGAAAGGAATCTTACTGATACTGTTGTGTAGAGTCTGTGAAATTCCTGGCTCCTCTCTGGCCAGTCTTCTTTAAGACTTCATTCATCCTCCCTCCTTTCCTTTTTTTAAAGCAATCTGTATATTTTTCAGTCAATTGCAATGGTGTTATGATGTAAGGCAGGAGTGAATGAGGGATTGTAGATATTGTAAACTTCTGTTGAAGCTTCATTGCAGTAGAGGACAGGGGTGTGTGTGTGTGTGTGTGTTTGTTTGTTTTGCATAGGAGTGGATCTGTGGTGACCAAGTTGGGCATTTGACCCTATTCCAGGCTTGAGATCCCTCCATCTGGGAAGGGTGTGCCCAGCTCAAGAAAGCCATGACAGCCCACTCACCCCCATGGTTACCAGTGGATTGTCCTACTGGTCTTGCATCCATTATCAGTCATTGGGTGTGTTAAATATGTGCATCAGCTGGTAGGCAGGTCACCAGATGCAAGACTATCCTGCTGCAAATAATCACATAATTAAAAATTATTCTTTTTTTCAGCAGGCGGGGAATGCAAAACTAGTTTCTCTTGTCTGGGTCCACAAAGAAGGGAAATTGCCCCAAAACAGGAAGTCAAACTGTCATGATTCCCACGTGGCCCATGTTTGTTTCACCAAACTAAGAGCTCACACTACGTGTCTTTCAGCTGCCACCAGTTGATTATATCAACATTACCTATTATTAATAATCGAGGTCAATGTTGACAGAACAAGCAATGTTGTTAACTCCTAACAAACATCCTCCTTCATCCACTCTCAACCACCACTCTCCCACCCAAACTCCAAAACCCTTCTCAACTCTCCATCTCCCAATCTAAAACTCCCCCTCCTCCTGCTGAGTCTCTTATATCTCCTGACTTCGCCCCTCCAGCACTCTGATTGGTCTGTGCATATGGCATATGAATATTCATGACCTGGGCAGACGCCACACGAGTGAATTGACCCTGATGTCTAACACAGTTCAAAAGAAGGCCTTTTATAGAGCGACCTTGCTCTCTCTGATGTCTTATCCACCTGGCACAATCTCTTAAACTATCTCTGTCTGCACTAATGATGTACCTGAGTCAGGGTAGATTCTGATCCTTGAGTCTCTCTTGGTTTCTGCCCACAGACACCTTGTTCCTCCTCACATATCCTGTGCCCTCAGGTGGCTCTGTCTATTCCTCTGCCAAGTTGTCCAGGAGGAAATAGGGCAGGTTGCTTCTGGTAGGGGTGACTGCCCTCAGACAATGACAAACCAGATAAGCAGAGCCAGGTTTCCTCTCTGCCATGTTGGCTTAGCTCTCTTCCTCATCGCTCTCCTTCTCTTATCTCTCTGCCAACTGTTTAGGCTTCTTCTTTGTCTTCTTGCTGTTTGTGCCCCCTTTATATCACCCTCTGGGAGAAAAAAACTTTTTCCCGGACTTCTCACTCTTTGCTTTTGTTTTGCTTTTTGGATTGGATTCTGTCTCCCTCCTCCAAAGTGGGTGTGGATTCAGGACATTGCTCTATATGGGGCATCCATTCAGGATCCATAATGTGTTCAAAGCAGGGACCTGCCAGGAAACAGAAGGACATTGAGGCAGAACCCACCTGTGTGCCAAAGAACTGCCCACTCACTGCAACGTAGGGTATGATCACACAGAGAAATATACTGCTATCTGGATTGCTTGAAGACGGGTCTGGTGTGATTTATTTCTTGGTGATCACACAAGGTACAGGAAAATGGACTCCATCCCAACCCCAGTCTGCACCCAAACTGGACCATTTTACTCCAGCTGTAGGGCTACTACCTTTGGGATCTGGGCTGGAGTGGTTCCCCAGCAGACAGAATACCTTAAAGCTGCCCTTTGTGGTATGTATCTTTCCAGCCATCCAATTGCACCATTATAATATATTAATCACTCCATAAATAGAAACATTCCACCCATGTCACACAAAGCTATGTAACAGAGAGAAAAGCAGAGATTATAGCAGAAAGAAAAAACCTTTTCACTCAGCATCTGAGTATAAAATAGACACCAGCTTGGGGCAAAGAGGCTGTGACATCTAAGTGGCAACTCCAAATATCTGGCACAGATTTGGTGGTGATTGTTCTTTTAGCTAAAGCCTAACCTAATGGTACTAAGAAATGGTGGGAAGGTTAAGGCAAAGGTACCAGAGATGTCTATGAATACCTGAAGAGTATGTGATAAGCTAATGTGAAGATGAGTGGAAAGGGATGTTTCCCTGGGGAAAAATGTCACAATGCATTATTTTCTCTTTCATCTTCTCCTGAACTGAACAATGTTAATTGTGACAGAGAGAAGGATAAACTTGGAATGTAGGGCAAGGCATTCTTTTATTTTATTTACATCCCACCTTTCTGCCAAAAATGGCATTGAAAGCAAATAACGGTAATATCCATATAAAAGCTATACAATTAAAATACAAAGAGACATATCTTCCAAACCATAAACTAATTACCATTGCTTTTCATTCTACATTGAAACTGGTCCTGAAAGGCTGGTGGAGGCTAGACATATTGATAGTTGAACCATGGGAGATAACTATGCCTTTTCTCTATAGTATAAATGTAATGATGATTAAAAAATATGCAACCCATGAATATTGCTCGCTCCAGACCTGTCATATGAGAAAGCTACATCATTTTGCCTTCCAAGGCTCACTTTCTATCAATGTAGGAATTAAAAAGGAAAAAACACGCTCATTTTCCATTGATCTGCTAGAAACCACGGTGAAATACTGGTAATTTTTATTTAATATAAATATGTTCTGTTTCATATTCTGGAAGCACAGAAATTAGGATGGCAACGATACAACAAAAATGGTACAATAATGTAACTTGCTCTAAGCCTCAACATTTCTGTGGGCAGCCCTTTCTGTTACAGAGAAATGCATATTCAGGACATGAACTAGTGCTTCATCCTTCCTTCTCTGTGTTCCATAAAAACTGTATTAAATGTGGTGCTTTTGAACCAGAATTTTCAGGAACAATGTACAGTATTAAGTGTATAATGTATAACCTGCCATACAATTTCAGGATAAGAAGCTGATAAAAGCGTTGTTTGATGTCTTGGCACACCCACAGAACTACTTCAAGTACACAGCACAAGAATCCAGAGAGATGTTTCCAAGGTCTTTCATTCGGTTGTTGCGCTCTAAAGTCTCCAGATTTTTGAGGCCTTATAAATAGCAAACACTATACTTTGAAAATTTTTTAAAATCCCAACTGTACAGCAGGAAATTTTAAAACATAGGTTTTCTGTGATAGCGCAGTCTTCAGGAAGCTTGACGGCTATTTGTATACATTATGTACATTTTTAAATTAAAAATATAACTATTTCATTACTTTGCCTCTGTTTTTGTTCTTGCATGACCTACTGTTATAGAAAAAGTGGGTAATCCAACCCCCCCCCAATATTAGATAATGACTGCTTATATATGTTACATTGTCTCACCAACAACTTCAAAATCAACTTGTAGTTACAGTCAGTCAAGCATATAATACAAGTTATTCAGTATTGGAAAGATAGATTTCAAAAGGTCCATCTCATCAGGTCAATACATTATTAGAGCTGGTTAATAGATGAGTGTGTGCTGCACAGTGGTCATAGACATACAAGGCCACAGAGATTAGCCTGTATTTTGCTTGAAAATTCCTAATGTGTGGCTTCTAAGGTTTCCATAGTGCCAGCAATTCAGAACAGTAACTTTGTGATCTTGTAAATCGTGCGTGCAGTGAGTCACAGAAAGTTATCTAGAAGCCTGATAAGATTGAATGACACTTATTAACACACATGCACCAGATTTTTCATTTTGAAGTTACACTGCATGAGTTAAGAGGTATTATCTGACCCCATGAAAATTCCAATATGTTGAGAGTTAGCATTGCATTTAAGAATATGGTCTGCAGAAGAATACACTTGTATTTCCTGAATCAATTGAGAATGTTCCCCTTGCTCAATGGAGATAAGCTAATGACAATTAGAGTATGTCACTTTTTTTGTGTGTGAAAGAGAAAGAAAGAAAGAAAGAAAGAAAGAAAGAAAGAAAGAAAGAAAGAAAGAAAGAAAGAAAGAAAGAGAAAAAATTTTAATGGTGAGTAGCTGAAATTTGTTTATGTAACTCTTAAGGTGAAAATGTTACAGAATGCCTACATTGTGCTTCTAATTCTCTGTGAATTCTGCAACAAAATATGATTCTAAAATGTTGCCTTCTGGTTCATGACGGTTAATGATCTATATCATTCTGGATGCATTATCAAAATACAGCCAGTGAATCTAAAAACTGAATTTCATCCTGGATTAATTGCTAAAGCTTTTGGCTTTATATTATTGTCTTTATCAATTTAGGTTATTCACATAAAATGGTTACAGTTCTATTATTGCTCACTTGATATCGTCTTGGAGCCCCAAAAGTTGGATGTAAAATGAATTGGCTCATTTATCATGTTCCATGGGCACTTTATTTTTCCTGCAAAGATTTCCTTCACTATAATCACAAATAATGGTTGGCTTGCAATTTTATGAATCCTTATGAAAAATTACTACATTTTGAATTGTTCAGCATTTGAGGTCATCACCCATTGCACTTTGACTGCCAGATAAATCCACAGATGGGTCTCTACTAGAAATGTTAATGCACAGGTAGGAACAAGTATAAGTAGACTACCTACCTCCAGGAGGGTTAGAAACATGAGGAGGTAGGCCTCAGGTACCCTTCAGGCATCTGGTCCTCAAGCTGTGATAGGCTTTAAAGATCAGAACTAGCATTTTGATACAAGAAATTTCCCCAAACCAGAGAAGTTGATGAAACGTCAGCACAGTATGATAGTATATCTAGCAGCTGCATTTTGAAGAAACTGCAGTTTCTGCACAGTGCCTTCAATGGCAGCCCCCTGTAGAATATGTTATAATAGGATAACCTGGAGTTTAGTAGAGCATAGTTAACCAAGATTAAGTTTTTTTCTAGGATCACTAGTCCTGATGCAATAAATGAGATTTTGTATGCTGTGATAGCAAGGTGCAATTGTTCACTCGGCTTTCATTCTATAGTAGTAACAAAGTTTCATGGTTGAATAAAGGATACAAGTGCACAGACATAGCTGGTAATTTAGGTTTATTACCACGTTCAGTCATGTTTACAATTTTCATTCCAGTTTCAGATCTGAAAGCAGTGCATAGGTCCAAGAATTTTAGCTCAAAGTTGTAAGATTGCCTATGTTGATTAAGTTTCACTTTAAGGTTTGCCATACATCTGTTCAATATGTGGAATTTTCCATTTGGCCTCCAAGTAAGGACATGCTGGCACTCTTACAATGCCTGTGTGCTGAAGTCCACTTTTATGTATAAATACAGTGGACCCTTGACTTACAGACGGCTTGACTTACAGACTTTTTGAGTTACAGAGTTCTCTGGCCGCAAAATTTAGGTTTGACTTGCAGCCTGAGAATTGACTTACAGACCAGAAAAAAAACCAAAATGGAACAAAAACGGCCAGTTACGGGATTAATCGGTTTTCAATGCACTGTAGGTCAGTGGAGACTTGACCTGCAGCCACCATTCAAATACGGATTAATTCCGTAAGTCAAGGGTCCACTGTATATAAAATAATGTTCAGTCTGTTGCCAGGAGATTATTTTTGTAAAAAAATATAGTATATTCCATCTCAATGAGACTTTGATCCTTTGTCTTCATACTGTGAATATTTCCTCGGAATGTGCCTCCTTGCAGAGAGATTTGCCATATCCATATCCAGATATGTACAAAATACCCAGCTTCAAATCAGAGGGTGAAAAATGCTGAGATTTCATTAGGACCTAACCTCTGTTATCTAGGTAATCCTTCATGGTCACCTTAATTAATGACATACACAAATCAAACTCTGCAGGCACTTATGTCGCTTTTTGTATTCTCAATATACGTATTCAATCGCAAGTGACAAATCTCTAATGGTCTCATTATCCAAACAAAGGATTTGTTCCTGCTAAGGCATATGGCTTGTTACTGAAGTTTTCAAAATTTCTCCTGTCATCCAGATGTAGCAAAGCTGGATTCAACATAATTAGTGCTTTTTATGGTGACAGTTCATGGGTTTTGTTCCTCTGGAAGATTGGTGCTGTGGCATTTTCTCTTATACTTTATTTTCATGTCAGGCTTCCAGTAAGAAACTTTTAATTAGCACAGAAATTATATATTTTTAAAGCTCCAGAAGTGGAGGTTCAGCAAAGAAGTAAATCTCTAAGGACTTTTTCCTCTACCCCAAGGATTTTAAGGGGAAATAGTTTTGAAAGACATGGCCGAAAGAAAAGAATCTTGGATATGAAATTCAGTTGTGCTCTCCTTTACAATCGGCTACAATAGGCTGATAGATGGATTTTTGCCCTGCATGCATAAACCCTCGTGGATGAGGCATATAGAAGTGTTGACCTAACTATAACTTGAAGGGGTAATTTTTTAAAAAAAGCTCATTTGTGATCGCTCCTTTTCAAGGTTTCATGGCTTCATTTTTTTATAGCCAGATGAGGCAAGAAAGATGGGAACAAATGAAAGATGAATGAGGGGTGTGTATGGCATCTCAGTGGATTTTAGCACTGCTATAAGAGGATGTTAATATATACTGAAGGAGGCAGGTTTTACTTGCAACAAGGCTGAAAGAAGTAGAGGGAACTTTTCTTTCTCAAGGTAGAAGACTGTAATTATCTTACAGTCACTTGGTGGGATTTACCGAGTAAATGTTGTCTAGTGGGGTGGGGTAAAAAGCAAATTAATTAATTAATTAATTAATTAATTAATTTACAGCCATGATAAATACGCAAATGTGTTTTACAGAGATGCCAAAGTACTGTAGATTTTATGGTGGCTGTAGAAGGATAAGAAAACCATAAGTTATAGGGATCCGGTTGTGAGTAAAGGGTGGATCTCTATAACATAGGGTTAAAAATGTAACTGGAGGAGGTAGGTTAGGACAATGAGGGTTCTGCAACATGGTAGGGATTAATAGTTAGAATTTATGTCTTCAGGTAAACCATGTTAAGGTATTGAATTATCACAGGTATACATTCATATGTTACCATGTTTGTGTAATACACTTTGAGCGCTTCTTTTGCATCAGATAGGGTGATTTTTTTTCATATAGTGTGAGGTCAAACTATAGTAGCATAGCTATACTATTTACAAGCTTCCACTGATGTTCCCATATGTCACCTTTCCCTCCTGTTCACTGCCCAGGCCATTCCATTCTAACCACCATCTCTTTCTACATGTGCTCAGACATAATACATTTTTATTTTATTTTTTATATTTTTTTTGTTACGGCACTGACTGCCAAATTTCAGACACTTAGTTTCTGGAGTTTACATACCAGGTACCTTAAAGTAAAAAAAAATCTGGAGTGATTTGTCCCTCATCTGATTACATTTGTAATTTTTAAATTCACTTAAATATGCTAGGAGAACTAACTTCATCCTAGAATCAAATCTGGCGTTTCTCCTTCAGTCTGGACTTTACAGAAATTTATCCTAATAAGGCCAGTTTAGGATGCAATCAGATGGACATTTGTCCTGCGGGTTGGTCTGATTTGGGAACCAGTGATGACATGTGCCATTGCAAACCAGCTACTTCCTGATCAATACCTACCCATGCCTTTTTGGGTCCCTGACAGGGGAGTTTTTAACTTTTTTATGTGGGTGGGGCCACTCCATTTTTGTTTGTTTGTTTCATGTTTGATTGCTAGGATCAAATCAAAGCAAATGGCTTAAGCTGTCCATTCGCTTAAGCCACATAATTATCTTTAGAAATGGGAAGGCTTCCTTACTACTTCCCTGTGGAGGGGAAGGAAGAGGAAGTTTTCAATTTCCTTTATATTGTTGCTAACTTGCCAATGAAGCTTTGAAATTATCACTGATGCACTGTGGGGGTAGCAACAATTAAAAAGAAATGAAAAGCAAGCAAGCAGAAAGTATACTTCCCATTTCTCAACGTTGCTAAGTGTTGTAGGTGAAGCATGGAGGAGGAGGAAAAGACAAGAGAGTTTTTGTTTGGTTTTATTTTCTTTCCATTTAAAAGGAAAAAAAAATTAGTCTAGATAATACTAAACAGGGTCAGCTGAGATGTGGTGTGGTTGATCCTTGCATGCGAATGCAAAAATCACCTGAAATGACACCATACCTAAAAGGGACCCTATTTAGCATGATCTAGCCTAAACCAGGTCAGGATAAGTGGGAAGTCTAATTGTATCCTTAGATTCAGGCTTCAACTCAATCTGGAGCGCAGTTCTAATCTACAGATACCTGCAGAGCATGTCATATTCAGGAGATAAAAATGTTCAGGGCACAAATGTAGGGG